CCATAAGTTAAGCCACAGATTTTTGGCAAATGTGAATAATTGGCATGTTAATAGCATTGTACATGTGTAAAGGAATATTGATTTTAGAGCCATTATCCCACTTCACAGATATTGCAGGAAATGTGATTAACATAACCATTGTCATCACAAGTGAAAACTGCACGGATGAAAAATACAACACTGAATCCTTGCTACTGAGGAAATTGGAAGAAGAGGTATTGTTCGAAATTTTACCTACTTAGTGAATCATTCAATATCTTTAAATTTTTTGTTATTTAGTTCAGGGTCAGAGACTGATGTGCTGACTGTATGATTAAGGATTAAAAGGAAACTCGGCCTCTAGAAAATTTGTAGAGAATATTAATTTTTGTTGAATTCTACAGTGTTCCTTAAATTTATTGATTGCACCCAGTCTCTTAGAGTTGTGTCAAATTTTAAGCTTAAAAAGCTTTTCCTAATCTTCTTATTATTCAGTGTTTACTCGTGCTTTGTATTTAGGGGGATAATTGGTCTGGTGTTTTTTAGCCACAAATAAAGTACGAAGCAAGTGACGAGAAGAAGAACGATTTATTTATTGAAGTCGCACTTTGAAAGAAATGAACTGATTGATACTATCATAGACTGTCTTATTCTCACTTTGATTCTTAGCAAAACAACCATATTCAATTTTATTTGAGGTAGAACATAATATTTGATGTCATCATCATTTGTACTTATGTACATCTACATGCATAATACATATGTCACGTGTACACTACCAAATTTAAACAAACAACTAAAATGTTCACTCGCAGCTCAAAAGGGCATTTGCTGGTAAACTTGATTATGAAAGAGTGCAGTCAATGAGTGTAAGGTATGTAACTTATTAGGTTCAAGATTATTTCAAATTGCTCCCTTTTTTATCGTTTATTTTGTTGATGTTTGTTTTCCACTTCATGTCACTCTAACTCTCAGTTGTTGTCGGTTCCAAGGTGTGGAAGTATAATAGTTGACCTTGCTCTGAAATTCAACTCCACCACAAAGGAACAAGATGTTATCATAACACTTAATGACGCGGTTAAAAATGGCAAGTTGGGAGACTTCGGTGTTGGTGCTATAAAAGGAAAGAGGCCTGATGTGGAACCATCCAGTGGAGGTGCCCCTGATGTGGAACCATCAGGTGGAGGTCGCACTGATGTGAAATCATCAGGTGGAGGTGCCACATCACCACCTGAGGGGTCCCCTGGTGGTAAGTCCTCATAACACTTCATTTAAAAGTTTTGCAAGTTGATAAATGAATGCCCTTGCCCTGTGCTTGGTTGGAAGCATTTTTTTGGTGAGAAAAAATGATGTTTTTGAAAGTTACTATTGCAGTGTTGCATGGGATGGTAAACTATAGATTTGAGGTTTGTACTTTCATTTGGACCCAGTTGTCCACTGCAACCTTAACTGACCATTTGTGTGGAAAAAAAAAAAACATTCCCTTGTGAAAAATGAAACTCAACCCTTGTGAGGCTCGACCACGTTGTTTCGTTTGTAAATATACGCTTGTACTCAGGAAAGTGTATCCTAACCTTATCACGCTTTGTAGGTTTCGTTTGCATTATTGTTGGTGCAGTGTTTGGATCAGTTGTTGCACTGGCTGTTGCTGGATTATTAGTGTGGTGGGCGAGCAGGAAAAGGAGGCGCAACAGAAAAGGTATTGAAGGTAAGTGTTGCATTCATGTGATGCGTTTAACTAATTTTGGCATCCCCAAAATATCTTTTCAACATTTTCCTTTTTTTGAGACTTAGTACTAGCTTCAGTTCAGTATCTACTGCCTTGTGATCTTTGTTTAAACATCTTTTTTTTTAATAGATAACCTCCAAAAAAAACGATACCTATTTAGCTATAAACTACAAGACCGCCATTATTTTATGTTGCACACTTGAAGACTGAACTTCATGTGCATAAAACCGACTTTAAATCTACTTAGGTTGTATAAGATAAATTTTGCTTTTTGATGTCGATTATTCATGACTATTTCTTGTTTTGTGTCGCTTTGTTATGGTCACTTTGGTGGTTTTTTTTTTTCTTAAGTGTTTTGCTTTGTTTTTTTTTTTTTTTTTTT